GGAATCACCCAACCCTTTTGGAGAGCAGGCACAACCTACCTATTCAACTGCACTGCGACGAAAGAGGACGAACGAGATGCTTGCTGATTGAAGCGTCGTTGGGTTGTCAGATTAAAGAGGATGAATAGATTCATCCTGTTCATCCAGTTGACAGCTCGTCGAGGGGTTCATCAATGGATATTGCACTATGACTGAATGGTAATCCATTCAGTCAATTGTGCACCTCACATCCCACTCCTTCTCTCAAGAAAAACGAGAAAAAAAAATCGCTGGTGCTCATAGCTTTAGGGTGCTTGTTTTTCTTTAAATAATATCAGTCCATTTCAACAGCCTATATTGTCTGTGATGTTGACCCCATGATACCTGCACAAAGTTCATTTTTTCTTTAATATCTGATACACCGCAACTTCTTCAGCCAACTGGATTCATAGCGTCTTAGTAAAAGTCCCAAAAAAAATGGAAATCTAGCTGCGGATGACAAGTGGCAAACCATAACGCTACCATAGAGGTAACTGTAAGACCAGAAGGTCCCGAAGAAACGTGCTCAATTTTTTTTTTAATCTGAACTTTTGGAAATGATTTCTAGTAATCAAACATCAAGATTTCTGAGAATTTTGCATTCTTGTCAGTTTTTATAACTTGTTTTCTAATCTTCATTGCCTTAAATTCAAACTCTCCTCAAAATTCACGCATGCCATTGCAGAAGTGCCAAATCTGTTTTTGAAATATAATACATCCAAAGAAGTGAAGTATATCTTTCATTAAAACGATATTTGAATAAATCTGTACACTGGAGTAGTTACTGCTACCGGATGGCTGTAAATTTATTCAGAGAAATTCCAATCGATTTATTGCAATAAATTGTCCTATTCCCTCGTCTTAACAAATATAAAGTTAAAACAGAATCTGTGGATAAAATCTGGGTCTTTTTTTTTGCAATAAAACTCCTTTATAGGAATAACTCAATCAAAAGGAAAATATTGATGACTTTAGCATTTGCTGCACATATACTAACAAATACTGTAGCCACTAAGTCAGCAAAAGCTTCATGAGATTCTTGTTCTTCTTCTTATTCGCATTTCAAGCTAATTGCTTAGCGCATATTAGCTTACTGCGTGCTCTCAACTTAGTGTTCTAAATGCACTTCCACATTTACTAATTGAGAGCATTCGATGCCAATATCAATGCATGAATTTATATATTGTATGGCAAGCACAATGATACTCTATGCCCAGGGAAGTCGAGTAAATTTCCGACCCGAAATATTCCCTCGACCGGAAAGGAAATCGAAACCGCCGCATCCGGCTTAGCTTCAAGAGATCTGATCAGTGAATTTCATGTCCCGTATGAATCTATTCGGTATTCTGATCCAATATTCTGGATCTCAGTAAATGTACAATGATCGAACCCTCAACTTTCTGATCCTTTTAATCGATTCATTCTTCTCTTCAGAATCGGTGTCTCACTTCTAACTACGTTCAACTGTCAGAAAGGGAAGTTTTCTAGCTATCATCACGAATCACCTTTTTACCTTCTAGTAATCCTCAAACTAAAGCACTCATGATCGAGTGACTCAACATACTCAGATACGTCTCTTCGAGATTCTCCCGCGTCATTCTATCATCGACAACCTATTCCTGAGCGAATTTATTCCTGAAGATCTGCCCTTTCGAGTGGGTGACCCACAACACTCAGGAAATCCTCACGACATGCCTTTCCTGAGCGGGTGTCCCGCCATGCTCAATAAGCTGGAGATCCTCAAGATCCGCCTTCTTCGAGTGGGTGTTCCGCCACACTCAGGCAATCCTCACGACTTGCCTTTTCTGAGCGGGTGTCCCACCACGCTAAATAACCTGGTGATCCACAAGATCTTCCTTCTTCGAGTGGGTGTTCCGGTAGAACGTATATTCAAAAAAATCCTTTACTACTTCCGGAAGTAGCTTTCCAACGGGCGTTCCAACTTGTGGAAAAACAAATCCACAGACCTTCTTACGAGCGTCCCACTTCGTCACTAAAGGTTTGCAGTAATCTTTCCACCGGGCGTCCCACACCATGGCAAAGATAGTCTTCTAGTGGGCATCTGACACCACTGTTCACCAACGACCGTCCCACTTCGTGGCATACTTATCTTCCTTCAGGCGTCCCACTCCGCGGAAGATTTTTCTTCGTTGTCGTCCAATCACTGAATAATCATTCCACTGGGCGTCCCACACCGTGGCAATGATTACATGACTTAGCCGTCTTGAACCACTTTTTCCACGGGCGTCCCACCACAGGTTTGATACCTGTTATGATTGCAGCAAAAATGATTATACTAAGACAACACGGCAATCATACTACACTGCAGGAAACTATTATCATTTTTGAAAGGCAACGTAACGAAGAAAAAAAAAACAAACGCGCAAAGCAAAACAAAATGTCTTCTCAGGAACATTGACAATGCACACTTTTTTTTGTTGGTATCATTCCATTCCACTCGCGGTTCGCGGTTCGCGCTTCACACTTTCTCATAGACCAGACGAAAATTTTACGAATATACACGTGGGACTTTACGACTAGCCTTTCTTTTAAATAACACTTCAATTTCCACTTCTTAGCCCTCTCAAACCGTTGGGTGATTCTAATGGAAATGGTTCAATTTATTTTAGCACTGAATAGTAGCTAAAACCTGGCAGGATCGCCAATGTGAGATTTGGACCGTATCCCACCGGAATCACCCAACCCTTTTGGAGAGCAGGCACAACCTACCTATTCAACTGCACTGCGACGAAAGAGGACGAACGAGATGCTTGCTGATTGAAGCGTCGTTGGGTTGTCAGATTAAAGAGGATGAATAGATTCATCCTGTTCATCCAGTTGACAGCTCGTCGAGGGGTTCATCAATGGATATTGCACTATGACTGAATGGTAATCCATTCAGTCAATTGTGCACCTCACAGGAACAAGTGAGCGTTTAACGAGTAGTGATTGGACATGAGGCGAGACATCATACGAATGAAGTCTCGACCCACATCCAACCCCTTGAACCAAGGACACTTCGACACCTTAGGGATGATTGAATATAACCATCGTCCCAAACTCCCTTCACTCCATTTATTTTGCCAGCTGGCGAGGGACTGTTGACGATAAATGAAGAAAAATTCGTCATAGGCGATTTGTCGATCGTAAATATCGCCTTCCATAGCGCCCACCTTTGCAAGCGAGTCCGCCTTCTCATTGCCCGGAATCGAGCAATGAGATGGGACCCATGCAAAGGTGATGACAAAAGATCTTAAAGATAAAGCACTTAGAATCTCTCGTATTTTCTTGAGAAAATACGAGGAGTGCTTTACTGCTTGCCTCGACAGAACTGAGACTATCCGTAAAAATAAAATAATGATCTGGTGCAAGTGAGGCGATCGTTTCTAGCGTATAATGTATTGCCGCCAAATTTTTTTTGCACAGTTGTTTGGGACTGAAAAGCCGAAAGATAATTATCCATTTTAAGTGATGATTATGATCTTACTAAGTACCCCGACTAATATGAATAGGCGTTACATAACTGATAAAAACGAGTTGTATTGCTGTATATATTTATTTGACTCAACATATAGCAACCTTGTGTAATAATAATAAGTAATTGATGTACATTGACCAAATATTTAAAATGAACTATGTGAAATACTAACAATGCCTAAGCCAAAAAAAACGTTTTGAAGAGAAGCGTAAATTTTATGGTTTGCCAGGGGCGATGCCAACCCCGTCTCTGTACGCATGTATAGACCTGTATAAAATACTGAACTGCTAAGGCAAAAAGCAATGTAAACATACCTAGATGTATATCATAACAATGAAGATTGCTGAAGCACCTTGCTTGAATGAAAACTTGAATGATTTGAATTTGGAACGAATAAAGAGTTGAAAAAAATATATAGATCTAATCGAAACCTAAGACAAAAATTAAAAACTTAATATTATACGTCTATCGGGGAGCTTTTGAGGTTTCTTCCTCCCTAGCAAATATTGTTATCGATTAAAAAATGAAAATATTTCTCTCCCATGCCTCTACGGGCCAAATTTTAAAACCATCATCACTTTTCTAGTTCTCTTATTTGCCACGAACGCTATCGTTACATTTCGAAATGCTTGATTCCGTATCTGAACTTCCGTGAATGCTTTTCAAACAACATTCTTTAAATGCGGTAGAACTCTATGTACTGGAACCTTCAAATTTTAACTGTCGATTGTCTCAAATCCCAACAAACAATTTGAGCTGATTCAGTGTTCACTCGGCTGTCGACAAAAATAGGCCACTTTCGATGTGTGTCACGCGATCGCCTGTTTACTCGGCAACAACCATTGTGTGGTCCTCCTCATTGTTCTTCATCAGCAGTTCTTTCAGTCGAAACGTAGTCGACGTTGGAAAGCAACCGTTTCTTGATGAATGTGTGAGTCCAGACCGCGTTTTGCGTACATTTTTGCAATTGAAGCGCTCTGCTCCCCGTTTGCGATACTGCCATACAACGAAGCCACTGGAAGCGGCTCCCGTTCTGGTGGAGGAGGCTTATTGGATAGCGGAAGATAATATGTTTATTGTGTTGTACCTTTTGACTATAGTTTTGAGATGTATTGTATAGTGAACAAGAAACCTCGGCTCTGCAAAGTTAATTCGGTTGAGCCTTATCAAATAAATTAATAAAAAAATGATCCGATTAAAATCTGAATGAGCATATTTTTGCCTGAATAAGCGTAATTTTTAATCGAACACCCCTATATACAAAGCATCTTTCAACATACGCAGCATAAAAAGAAAAGCCGAAACACTATCGCGAAGAAATTCGACACACATACTGACACTGCTAGAGCATAACTATTTAACACTCGCTTGTAGTGAACGACGTAAACACTCGACTGTTCGAATACTCTCTCACATTGCAAGCTTGCGTGCCGGTTCTTCTCACAACTCGACTTTCATTCATATTGAGCTATTGAGTATTCCATAGTCAGAGAGGTTTCAAATGTCGAGCGGAATGGACGTGAATAAGTTGATTCGCATCTCATATTGGCCGCGATAGTCTTCTTCTTCCCCTTGCCAAAGTGTTTACTCATTGGTGTTATAGCTGTTGTTATTTCGTTGTAGATGCAACTATTTCGAACTTAGTGAACTGCTCGCGAGTAAATAACATTACGCGGCGCGGATTCCGTCAGTATTTTACCAAGTGTTCGCGTACGCTTGGGGGTAAGAATGCATCGATGATTGCCACCTTCCTGCAAATATTTCGTTTTTTATTGTGCATAAGAACAAGAAGATCTAAGCCGATGCTAAACTATGTACACGTGGAAACACTTCTGTTCTCGCCGGAGTGATACTACGTTAACTCAGTGATCGAAGCTTTTACTTGATAGTGCTTCTAGTGTATGTCACGTGGAATGATAAGGGATCTTGTTTCAGTGTATTAGTATGAATGATTGATAAAATAAAGAAAGTGTGCAGTGTTGGACACAGTATCTACAATTAAGAATTATGTAATTTTGTTAAAGCTATGCCATAAGGACTGGTGATGTACAACTGATAAACTGAAAAAGTGACATAACTTTCTAGCACCAGCATTTTGTATTGTTTTTAAATTAACGCACCCTGATCATGGTGATTGTTATTTGCGATTGTAGTGACTTTTGTGTTGGAATGAAGAAATACAGCGTTGTGTTCGAATAATTACCTACTAATGAGTGCTATCGGATAGATTCAATTCTCACTGTTTGCATTTAAAACTTGTATCAGTTTTCTAATACACACGAGTCCATGGCAGTCAGGAAGATTAAACCGCACCCGTTACTGTTGTTGCCAGTTTCATTATGAGTACGTGTTCATCAATCTTCTCCGGCCGCCAGCAGCAGTTAGTTTTCAATCGTGTATGGATTTGAGATTTGTTCCAACCAATCAATCGGCGCAAATGGGTAGAGAGCAATCAAATAGACTCTTAGCGCGTTGGAGAATTCTTTCATGTACGGCAGACCCGTATCAATAAAGTTCTGTCAAGCGATATAATCGATGAGATGTGAGTGTCGCAATTACAGGACCTTGATGGAACAGTCAAGTCAAGCAACAAGCAACTGCTGATGGAATGCTTTAAACAGCTTTCATGGGGTTGCTGATAATTGAACCTATCGATTCATAGGATAAACAAACAGAAATTAGTTTTTTTTTTCAGGCAAAATCATGGGAAAACAAGAACAGGAATTGTGCACAAACTACGTTCACAGTTTTTAAAAGAGGACAATGATCCATCCACTTTTATTTTAATCGCTTGAGACCGAGTTAATTAAGGCAAAAAGGTGCTTATTTTAGTTCACAGGGACCGTGGATTTTGCTCAGTATCTCAACTCGGTCATACTGCTTAAAATTTTATGGAAAATTGATCTAAATATTAAAGAGGCTATTAAAAATTAAACTGTCATTTTTGACGGTAATTTTAATTTTTTTTTCCATTGTTTAATTTTTCCTGAAAAGGCAATCCAGTTTCCTAAAACTTTGTCGCAGCCATTATTTAGATTAGATGAGCCGTTTTCATACCGAAAAATATCGAATACGCCAATTTGAACAAAAAATCCAAAAAAGGCGCTTAAAATTTAATAACAAAAAAATATTCGTTTAATATATTTCATACATGTTTTGCTAAAAAATGTTTTAAAATGCTAACTTCTGTGAAATTTAAGAGTTGCACATTTGAAAATTACCAAAAAACAATAAGCAACAACTTTTAGTCATATTTTTCATCTTTTTGATTATTTTTATTTTTTTTTTGTAAAAATTTGTACAAACTTTCAAAACTTTTGTTTTCAGACTTTTAAATCGTTTTCTGTGAAACATTAAGCAAAAAATTGAAAATAAAAATAAATCAAAAAAATTACCAAAAGCTGTTGTTCTAAGATTTTTGGTAATTTTCAAGGAATTATTTTTTCCAACTTTGTTTCAGATGTCATTTAGCTTGGAAGTAACGTTTTTGAGTAACTATTGGTAAAAGTATCAGATACACCATATTTATTTTTTGATTCTTGCAAAATTCAAACTGACAGAAATTCAGCTGAAGTATAAATCATATGCTATAACAAACAATTAAACAAAGTTGCATGTAAATCGGAGAAGGTCGCGTCAGATCGATTTGTAATTTGGTGTAGAACTACTCTTTTATGAAAAACCACAGGATAATTCTGAAGAGAATTCAATGGTGATATCAAGGAAATTTTCAATGGAATGCTGAGGCTAATTTCAGAAAATATAAATCCGATGCATCCAAGGGAGTTTTCAGAGAATACTTATCCTAGTAGTAGCACGCTTGTCACTAAACGGCAAGTTTGACGGAAACGGAAACGGCAAGTCTGACAGTTGTCACAAATGACATCAAGATGACTAACCGAAGTCGATTTGGTTCTACTAGTTTACAATGCGACAAGTAGGCTTATTCAGATCGCTGCCGTTCCGCTTCCGCTGTCATTGCGCTTGGCCTTAGCCGATAACATATGAATATCTTAATGAGGCATGATACCTTATTATGGTATGCTTGTGGTAAAAAACCTTGTTTTGATGTTATTCAGTTATCGACATATTTTGTAAGATATCAAATAAATGCCAAAATAACAAAACAGGATCTTTCTGTTTTTTGACAATAACACCTAAAGCAGTTATTGGATTAGTATTAGAATACCTTTCAAATAACACATTATGATATTCTGGCATTAAAAAAGCGATGAGTATCCGTCAGTTATTATTGATTAGATCGTTATTCGTAGAACATTTTTGAGGTGCTTATTTTTGGTTTTTTTTTTCCTTTTATGTTAGGCTCAACAATATTATATTTAGGTTGCCAGTTACATTTACTATTGTCGTGCCTGAATTTGGTATTCATAAGTTATTTTCTCCTGCTCGGGTTTACGCGTCCTGAGCAGGAACGAATAAATACTAAAATTGGTATGGATTAGCCAGACATAAGAGGTAAAATACCAAAAAAAATTAAGCAAAAAAAAATGTTACCACAATATTATTCCAACCAAATTAAGTAAATGCAATACCAAACAGTTCCGCACAGGTATTCTTTTGGTATCCTAATATCAATTTTAAAGTATTTTGCATGCATTTTTTTTTGTATTATTCTTTGGTATTTTACCTCTTATCAGGTAGGTATCAGGAACACAATTAGGTATTCATAAGTTATTTTCTTCTGGTCGGGCTGCCTTAAAATTTGAATCACCCCTATTTGACATTTGACGATCACCTTTATACCAGTAAATTATCTATTTTACTGACAGTTGAGACATCGACAAAATGAATTTGTTGTATTTAAACAATATTTGACCCCGAGATAGTGCACAGACCCAGCAGGTGAAATGGCCTATCCCTAAACCCTGGTCCGGTTCGCTCCATTGCCATCCATTGACGACAATCGAATGTGCAGGGAGGCAGCTTCCACACATGTGTAGGATATCGCACCCTTAGGAGTACGCAATAACCTTTAACTCCGACGCAGGCAACGGCTGTAATTAAATTAATTCTATTAACTATTGGTTTAATTACATTCATTACACAGTGTCGAATATTAACTACTTTTTAAGTCCATTAATTACAATCTAAATATCGTAATTAAAGTACATTAATTACATTTTCAATACTTTAAATTACATTAAGTACGGATAGGTAATTTTAACTACCGTCAGTACTACTTCAAAATGCATTAATTACTTTAAGTACTTTTGATTCCCTTAGCTCAGTCGGTAAAGGCGCAGCTACAAAGCATGACTATGCTGGAAGCGGCTGGGTTCGATTCCCGGTCCGGTCTAGGAATTTTTCGGGTTGGAAAATTTCTCGACTTCCCTGGGCATAGAAGTATGATTGGACTTGCCACACAATCATATCAATGCAAAAATGGTACAGGCATCGAAAGCTCTCAATTAATAACTGTGGAAGTCCCAACTAACAATTTTAGCTGCAGATTAGCTTATACAGCCAAAAATTGGCTTATACAGCTAATTTTTGCCTGTATAAGCTAATCTGCAGCTAAAATTGTTTGTTGGGGTGCTTCTAGAACACTAAGTTGAGAGCACGCAATAAGCTAATATGCGATATGCAATAAGCTTAAAATGCGAAGAAGAAGAAGAAGACTTTTGATTGCATTTTAACTTCAACGCACCAATTCTTTGTGTTGCGTGCCCCTCGTCGCACCCATCAACACACATCCCAACAAACAATTTGCACTGCATAATGGCTAAAATGAGCATTTTTTAGCCGAAGAAGCATAATCTCTTATTCTGCATGCAATGTTTGTTGGGTTGGACCGGGACCAACGGTTTTACTTCCCTTTCGAAGGAAGACGTAACCAGAGATTTTTAGGCCTCAGAAAAATCCCACCAATCTCGGCTGGGATTAAACCCAAACCCATCGGGGTGAGAAACCAGTCACGCTTCCCACTGATGACTGATGGTTACATGGAGGTGAGGGTTGATAGTGAAACTGAGGCGGAGAAACGGTAGAAGAACGACGGAGATAGTGATTCTCAATCGTCAACCGTACTGAGGGTGATGATGGGTTGTATGGAATTCGCTTATTTGAACGGAATCTAGGTCATTGTAGAGCTCGAGACAATAAAAACTGGCCACGTGGTCGAGAGTGGATACAGGTAGCGAAGATGCAATTCGGTCTTAACTGTAACAGGACGGTTCCGGTTTGGAGGCTGACGACCGATCACGCTCGCCTAATTTGGTCGGTCTGCTCGAAGATACCTATCCACCATCCATGCCAAAAGTTTCCAAATCATGTCAAAGAACATCAAAATTTACAAAAACAAGAACAATAACAACAACAACAACAACATACAAATCTGTCCCAATATTTATTTCGTTGTGTTCTAAAATCATAGCCTCCTAGATCACTGCCATAAAAACAGTAATTGTCTAGTGTCATTCCGAGGAGTAAATCATTTAAATTTTGGCCACTGTAAATCGTCGTGAATTATCAGGAATTTGAAGACAATTTCCAAATTTTAAATTTTAATGAAATATGTTCGAAGCATATCTAGACTAGTTACAGCAAAGGTTAGGTTAGGTTACTTTATTAAAGAGACTTTCAGCCATTGGTTGATTCGGCTCTCTTAACAGCAAATTTTTCGAGATAACACAGAAAATAATCAGATTCAAGGAATTAAAAAAAAAATGTTGTGAAGTTTCAATATTTCTTATGCTGAGAAAAGTTTTCTTGGTCCTGAGTTAAGAAAAATCTTCGTGAACCGGGAGTTTTTTTTTCATTGATAATGGCTACTTTAAATATGTGGACTCAAAAATTGAGAAATTCAGATTCTAGAACATGATATCAGGACAGCCTATATTGTTTCCTACAACTTTGTTTCACGCATCGTTTCCATTAGAATTAGCGTTTTTTATATGATTTGCATTTATTCATTTCATATTTGATAACTTGGAGAAATGCTTTCATTGGCATGTAAAACTAAACATAACGTCCACATAAGCTCTAAAATTAAATCTGCAAACAAAAAAAATGAATGATTTTCTACTACACCAATTGGTCATAAGTGTATTGAAGCAAATGCATATTCGTAATCTGCATTGAAAATGGAACCGAAATCCAAAATGTCATCAATTTTAGTGCACTAGAACTATTTTAAATAAGTATAAGCTGCGAGTATTCGGCCCAACTGCTACTAGACATAGAAATAATTTAAATTTGTCACAAATAATGAACAATAAATTATCGGCTCTGCAAAGCTAACGCGATTGAGCTTTCCAAATAAACGAACTAGGTAATAATTATGTTAAATAAGTACGATTACATTAGCAAAATCCTCATCTTAGCACCCCTCGGTGGGACTTTCTATTGGAGTGAACTGTCAATCTGTTAGTTTAGTGTCAAACAGTGAAGTTAATATTTTGCATAAAATCTTCATTTAAAAATCGATGTGAAAGTCTATGGGTTCGAAAAAAATATCGTTATGCTCCGAAAAACGAAGCTCTTTCAGATTTATATAATGCGGTTTTTTTTTTCAAGATTAAAGAACCTAATTACATTTTATCACGCGTTCTGAAACATCTTCTCCATTACAGCGTTGAAGCATGGACTAATTTTATTTGAACATGCATTTACACCAATAACTGAATATGTATTTGACTTAAGTATGAATCAAAATAAAGTTTCATGCAATTTACTCTGTTTACATAATTCTTCCAATTTTTCCATAAATTTTCCGAATTCTCTTCGCCACCATTGATTTATTAACATCTCAATGTATATATGAACTGGTAACAACACGTACAACTCTTACTCTACCCTGCTCCAAACTCCTAGCAAGTGTGTAAATGAGTGTGCAAATTTCGAATGAAAGCAGCGACCGGAACGGCCAACACCTAAACGAAAATCCCCAACTCGTAAATATTTGAAATTTATTGGTTCCTCTAATGAAACGATCGAATCATCTCCCGGCAGGCAACGAATGCGAGCAAGCGGAGGAAAGTCGTCGGGATGGTGCCATCTTCAGTGATTCACTATGCCGTGTGGCACCCATGGTGCGGATGCTAAAAGTGCAAGAAGCTGAAGCAGAATGCTATAAAAATAGCGAAATCGAGATATCTCAAGCGGTTCAATTGAATTATTCCCTGTGCACTAGATAATCTGTGAGTGAATATTCGAACGGAGATATGGCGAAGAATGAATGTTGTTCCTGGCTGCCACTGTTGGCCGTCGCGGCGGTGATGTCCATTTCCGCCGTGCTGTGCTTCAATTTTGAAACGCGTCTTCCCATCGTCAAGTATGGAGCGACCAACACCTACTTTGGATATTCGGTAGCATCCCATTCCGAGCAGCTGAGAAACGGAGACAAAAAAAACTGGTGAGTCCCATGCCAAACGGGCATTTTTTTTTTATTTTACTATGCCTATGTACGATTTAAGCGTAAATATTGTCGAGGAAATTATTGCTCGAATTGATAATGCTATCAGTCTTTTGAACGCACCTTTTTATACTGCCTATAATCCCATATCAGTCCCATATGGAAAATGGCAGTCAAAGTTACGAAGTGCAATCCCCATGTAAATATTTGATAAATAATAGTAAATCAATTGATAATTTTTTAAAGTTAAAATCTGTTGCAATGAAGCTTGCATATTTTGTTATATCAACGAAAAATATGGCAATTCAAAAAGCAGATCTTTAGCCTGAACTAAGGGCGATTAAATTTCAGGATGGGACTGATATGCGATTATTTTGCTTGATGGGACAAACTGACCTGATGTTGTTTTCACATTTTTCATGATCAAAGTCCATAGTTTTATCACATAATATGAACGTGGATGCCAATTGATAGTCGATAGCGTTGATATCTCAAAATTGACGAAAATCCATATGGGACTGATATGCGATTATAGGGAGTATAGTCCATTCTATTTACGCGAGTACTGATGGTTCGAAAGTGAGGGTAACAATTTACAAACCAACATTTTTTGGCTGGAGCAAAAGTGAGGATAACAAACTTCGCACTTGAAAATTGGATTACGCAAGTGTAAGTGTTTTAAAATTGACGGCAATCGAATGTGCAGGAAGATAGCCTCCACACCTGCGTAGGATATCGCACCCATTCAAACACACATGGGCCGGGACCAACGGCTTTACTTCCCTTCCGAAGGAAGACGTGACCATAGATTTGTATGCCTCAGAAAAATCCCACCGACCTAGGCTGGGATTGAATCCAGACCCATTGGGGTGAGAAAGCAGTCACGCTTAGCACTACACTAACGGCGCCGGCTAACTTACCAATCTCGGACCACTTAATTTTACATGACATGTTTGTTTACGTCTCATCATACAGTGTTGGAAAAATCATTTTCAAAAAAGTTCTAAAATATTTTGAGATTGACTGTTAATTTCAATTCTTGCAATACTTGTGGATGAAAAATTTAGATCGTTCCCAGTCTGTTGCTTTACCACTACACACTACAAAGATATTTTTGTCAGATCCTTGGTCAGCAAATCGAGCGTCTTGAAGTTCAGTATGGTTTTACTCTGTTTTACAAGGTTTTCCAGTTATGGGAGCGGACAGTGAAAAAGTTCACTACCACGTCTAGTACAAAGTTAAGAACACAATCACAATATCCAATATTCCCAACCATCCCCCTCTCTTGCATACATTATAATTGCATGGTACCTTACAGGAACGATTTTTTTTTTTTTTTTTTTTTTTTTATTATAGTCACTTTAACTTGGGTTATTCGTGACTTGTCCGGGGGTGATATTTGAACTCGTGACTTTGGCGTGAGAGGTATGGATGCTAACCACTACACCGGGGTCGCCCCCGGGGAACGATATTACGAACACTAGTGGTGAGGAGTCATGCAATAACTATACCTCGCGAAATTGAGGACACATTAAGTGATCCTCCTTCCGCAACCCCCCTTGCCCTGAGGCACTTTTTTCATATAAATAATGAGTCACAGAATCTTACACTCCCCTCCCCCTTCCTCGTTAATGCCGCGTTGACACTTCTGCTGATTCAGTCATTGTTGCCAAAATCCAATGCACCAATCAGCTGCAAAAAACTCATCGTCCTGATAACGCGTACTTTGAATAACAGGCGCCAGTAGACAGCTAGCTACCGGACTCATCAGGCTTCAGAGAGTGTATTGACTTACTCGGGATAGCTTTCTGTCTAGAATGTTTGCGTTGTGAAATGTGTAGTGAGATTTTCAAGAACGAATGTGGTGTAAATAGATAGAGAGAAAAGGTGATCTGATATTTTTCGTATCCTCGCGTTGGTTCTCTCATCCCAAAAAGCTCGCTCAAGAAATGTTGGAGTGTGAAACTAGTAACGGGAAACTCCCAAGAGAAAACTTATCGCACGAGAAAATGATATTTTAGTGAGAATTCCATCACTGATCCTATTATGTCAAAGATGGATTCCATGTACAATTAGTTATACATAGTAGTAATACCCTAACTCGATGGTCCCTTCAATATCGTATTAGGAAGAGTTGACTCTATTACTATTAATGTTGTGAAACACATTTTAACTTGATAACATTTTAACAAAAACCAATATCATGCATGTTTGCGTGTTCTGCTTGTTATTTTGTGCTTATGACATTTAATGTTTAGAGTTATCATATTATGTGTTATGTACAATTAATGTTACTAATAGCTGAATACAAGTCTGTTCGGTGTGCTTACAGAAGAAAAGGTTAGCTTTTCAAAAATCATAAATTATTACAGAAGCTTTTACAGTGACTTGTATCGGGGGTAAGACGGCCACTGTTGGATGGAATTTGTTGTACTCAAAGGTTGGAGCAGTAAATAAAAATATTTCGTTTCGTTTCGTATAACGTAACATATGGCCACGTTCGATCCTCCAGGATATTAGTAAATGTGCTCAATTTATGAATCCAGATGCTGACCATCTACAAAGTATATGTCTTCGACAAAACTGTGCAGAGTGGTGCTGCCCTAATAAAAATAACCATATCGACGTGTTCGGGATATCATCCAAACCATTTGTGGGATAGTTTACGCATCCAGGATACAGTTCGTTTATGGTATTTGTTAATGAGGGTGGTAATCAACGCATTCTGGATGGTAGACAAATATATTTAAAATTTTCGCACTACTTGGCGCTACTATGCATATGAACTTACACTATGTATGTACTATCTCGAAAGCCATAGCTGCGCCTTTACCTACTGAGATATGGGCCTATGATAACTAAGGAATTGTAGTGTGATCGAGGTATTATAAAACAGTGTTCAATCATACTTTAATAATAATCAAAATATGAATTCAAGGTACCATAGGGTGCTTCATTAAAAAAAGATGAATTTCTGATATGCCACTCTCAAGTTCGATTCAAAACCGCAAAATATGAGCCTGTGCAAAAAATGGTAAAGATTGATGAAGGTTTAGAGGCCGCCCCAATCATTTGAAATTTGGATAAAGATTTCGGTGAATTACTATGTAAATTTATTGATTTTCACTTACAATGCTTTAACATTGTTTGTAGTTGTCCAAACGTTGAAAACAAAAAAATTGGTTATCCTGTCAATGATCAACAAGCCTGTTGTTGTGATGTTCATCATTGGCGTTGTTGTCTTGACAATTTACCCTATTTTGTAGTTTTTTCGCATGTCTATCTTTCTTGATATGCTGTAAAACTGATCGTAGGTTTTTTGGTCATTATGATAACAACAACATATTATTGTTTTTTTTTTTAACGTTTGGAAAAGGAGAAGCAAAGTTAGAGCGATATAAGTGATTTTTGAAATTCTTCCATAGTAATTCCCATACAAATTTAAAATCATTGGCCCGGCTTCTAAACCTTAATCAATATTTACCATTATTTACACCGGTTCTTATTTTGCGATTATGAATCGAACTGGCAGGTGGCCGTTCAGAAATTCATCACTTTTATCGGGTCATTTGGCCCGAATGCCGTTTGACCGAACGTCATTTTTCCGAAAGCGATTTGACCAAATACTGATTATTTTATAATGTGTAGAAGAATGAATAATCTGAAATGATATGTGATTATGCGATTATATCTTAAAATTATAAATTTTCCAATCAGAATCAATCACCAAATTTCATGGCAAGTTTCACCTCCTAAAAGAATTAATTATCACTATCTCACCGTACTTTTGAATCCTACTCATGATTATAAGAATAATATATCCTAATTTGACATTCGTTTTTCAATTATGTGGTTCATGTTTGGCGAAAGGCTAGGACGCGGAAAATAAGAATCAGATTTTGGGAGAATGATCAGGACCTGATTTAGAATTGATTGAACTTGGTGGAGCAAAATCTATGTTTTGAACCGCCCTAATGGGTACAGAAATAAATATTCATAAGCTAGCGACCTTCGAAACACTTGTTGTTGAGCTGTTTTCCTTGTCTTTCTCACGCTGTTTTGAATGGGAACACCTTACACCAGTTGAAATCGGTTTTGTTTTACTACACACACCTTCCCCGACTATTAGTGTAGTGAATAGTAGTGGCCCTTCATTTGCACATTCTTTCCAACATGGCAAGGCAAATAAGCAGAAGAAATGAGGATAGTCGTAAATAAGATGCTGAAAATGCTTGAGAGCAGCTTTGTCACGCTCTCTTGTAGTAAGCTTTCATCCATGTGCACTTTACCTGTACATACACCCAACCGTTTTTTTTTTTGCGCGTCATATTTTTCAACCCGTTGAACAACTTGTTGAAAAAAATCAGGATAAAATCAATGGAAAAATGGCAACTAGATAAAACAAATGTCTAAGTTCAAAACAGACAAAGAAAATTCAATAATTTAATGCGTTCAGAAAAAATGGGTTGTTTAGTTACCACACAGTATTGAGAAATTCTCCTAACTGTTTGATAATTTCAATCAATCAAAAAATTCATGACGCCGAAAAAACTGCGCAAGATTTACATAACACATTTTGGCAATACAATTTTGAACCGCACATAAAATCAAATTTGTTAACCTACGCTCATTTTTCATTCACAGTTAATTATTTTTATGGGTCCTATCAATTAATGCTCACGTTTCACCCAATTTGTAAAACGTGGCTGAACACAGTGCCTACTATCACAGAACAGAAGGGGAAGTGCAAAGAAATCAGCGAATCAAAAAGTGGTTCGTTTTCCTGCTACACAAACGATGCGTTGTGGTAGTGTCCCACACGGGCTTCTATGTACACTCACACTATCATAGCATGCTGCCTATCTTAACTGCAGGCAGAAGATGCCTTCTACCGCTAGGAGCGCTAATGTTCGCCAATAACGAGTGGAGCCACTTCTGTTCTGTGCTACGATGCTCGGCTCAATTAAACCAGGAAAGGCACGAATAGCAAAACCCAAAGC